ACCTTTCTGCCACAGGCAGTGTAGCCATGGTGCGAGTCGAGTAGCTGCTCCAATATATTTCAAAGAGGGGGAGCAAAATTATGCTTTTGGTAAAAAACAAATACAAATCTGATCACAACTAAAATGTGAAAAACCTTTATGATTTTTCCCTTCTACTTTGATATAGTATGCAAAATCATTGTACACACAGATAACTACCATCAAAATTCACCTTGTTATTTAATGCATATTTACAGAAGTAAAAAGATTACGAACGTTTCTCAGAACGATGACATAATTTTAACACTACATTATTTAAGGGCTGCAAGTTGAACCACTGGAAACGTGTAAGGCTGACTGCTATCAAAACTTCATCAGTCAGTCAGGAGTTCAAAGGCAAACTGTTGTTTTGAGTCTAATACCTCACGTGAGGTTGAGAGGAGAAAGAAGACACAGACTCCTTGGTTGTACAGTCAGCAGCATTGTTGCGTTGCAGCAAGAAGGTTCTGGGCTCAAATCATTAGATTTGCAGGTTCTTCAGCTTCTCCCCAAAAAACAAGGCTGTTAGTTTAATTGGTCTCTCTAAATTTCCCTCTGGTATGAGTGTGTGTGCATAGCTGTGTGTCCACTGTGGCTCTGTGTACCCAGGCTCTCATTTCAGCACCAGCTACCTCTGCTAAATGTCTCAATGTCTATGTTTGGTGTTATTCCTGTTCAACAGGTCATTCAGAGACTGAAAGGTGTTGATCTGGTTCAAATAGTCCGACAACTTGATGGTTCCCCACTTTAGATACATCTGTATACTATGAGCATCTCTGAAAAAAGTCAAAAGACAAATATTTGCGGCATTATTCAAATTATTTACCACAGCAAACTTCAAAAGAATTGATTGGGTTTTCTGACTATGTCAGGTTAACTAGATGGATTGTTTTAAGGTGAATTTCTAAAAAAAAGGCAACATAAGATTATTCATAAGAGAATTTTGACATAATCACAGAGATTCAGACGAAACTCCAAACCAAACACTTTATACTCTTGACATTTATTCTCTTCACATTCCTTAAACGACAATCCAAGATGTGACCTTTAACCTCAGTCTTATAAATGGATAACTGTGGCCAGATTCATCAGAATTAAATGAAGCAAGATCGGTTCAAGAAGCACAGGACATTGTTTGCACACACCGATTGGCCACCAGAGTCCAAACTTTAACACTTACAGTGTGGATTTTGTCGCAACAATAGAATTTGTTGCTTCTCGGTTAAAAAACTAAAATAAAAAAATCCAGCATCACAACATAGTTCCTAGTGAGAAAGTTGTGCTGATTTTAATTGTATAATTATATGTTGACCTGGTTCCTCTGTTACATTTTACATAATGCAGTTGTGCTGTATTGGTGTCACATTAGGGACACAATGCAGTCTGTTAATGTTACTTACTTTATATTAGCATGCTTCTATTATTTGAGTAATGATCAAACTTGTCTTTTTTTTTTTTTTAAAAAAAAGGGATTTTATGACTTTTTCTGTAACATATTGCTCATTTTAATTGTTCTAATCTCCAGGTTCTCTCCGTCAGTTCATGTTGCGTGTTTCCTTTGTTTTGAGTCTCAGTTCAAGTCGTTAAAACTTGCTTAATCTTCCGGCGAGACAGATGTAGCTGTGAATATGAATCCTCTTTAAGATGTGCATGTTCACAGAAATCTTATCAGACTGTCAACAGCTCGACAAAATGTCAACAGTGTCAAATTACGTTAAAGCCAAAGTGTAGGACCAAGACGACTGCAAGCAGAAGGACATGACTATTAACCGTCAGGCCTGGAGCCAGCTCAGTCTAACACTATTAATAGCAGCTAAGAGAAGTTCACTGTATATTTCTAGGTGGAGTAGAGTCCTTATTTTAATACCAAACATTAATAAAATAAATAGCTTGGTTTTTGAAATATTTTCCCTTGATTTTTCTTGCATCATCTTTTCGCAGTCAGTGCAAAGACAAAGGCTCTGCTGTCGCTTACCACCTTTTTATTCTTACCGTCGCTGATTTATAAAGGTCATTTACCAGAGGCTGGCAATTAAGAGCATGACAGACATAAACAGAGGATGATTACAATCTGTCTGCTGGCCACCCGCAGAAGACCTGATGAGGTAACACACAGCAAACACAAAATCATGTTTTATCTTTTTACCAAAGTTTTAGAAACACTCATTAACGTAACAGCAAAGCGAGGTTGTTTTCTTTGCCAACTTGGATGTTTTTTTTTGTTCACCAGTTCACTCCTGAAGCAGAAGAAAAACTAAAGAAAGTTGCAAACAACCTAAAACATGTGGTTACTTTATGTAACCCAAACTTGTTTTAAATCTCTTGACAACTTGATCAGATATTGGTGATAAAGTCTGTTTGCTAATCAGGTGAAATCTGGATCCATTTGGGTTCGGTTGATTTCATTTATGAGTTTCAGTCTGCTTTTTTTAATGATTATGTTTGCTTGGTAATCATAATTTGCATTGCACATGTTAATATATTTAATACATTTTATATGTTTTCTGTTGAGGGTTATTTGATAAATTAACCCTATGATGTTTTCAGATGGGTTTTTTTTGTTTGTTTTGTAAGATTTCATGAAATAACAAAATTATGTTGCGTTGCGTACAAGTGTTGCACAAAAATGACAAATGTACCTTTATTCTAGACATTGTAATAATCAGCCAAGACATTTTAGTTACTCATTTCAAGGCTGTGCAAAGTCTGTGTATAAAATAAATAATGATGAAAAAAAAGATTAACGACTGTAATTTTCCTATGTTTGAAAACATGCTGTAGAGATGTTGCAATATGACAACATTGTTTGTTACAGCCCACAATTCTGCATTTAAAAAATAATTTTATTGGTACGATATAATTTTCAAACCTTAAATGTCACGCTTTCATTAGCTATAAGCAGATATTCATCATGATTAAAAGAAATAAGGTCAAGAAAACGTCAGTCAGTCTGTGTGTAATTAATCTTGACAAAAATGTTAATTCACTTTGTGAATTAAATTAGCTTTTTCACAGTATTCAAATTCATTCGATATGACTATATGTCAACTCTAGCTCATCAAAGCTGTAAACTTTGCAAAACGTGATTGAGGAAACTTTCTGTACTTCACTGAAACAGGTCTGTCAGCCAGTATAAATTGTCTCCATCACAGTTGCCTCCATGGCCTTTTTTCTAAATTGACATAAACCGTCCATATGAGAAATGTGAGGGCATCATGCTGGCCCTAATCTTCCTGCTATCACTGTTGTGCGCTCAGCTGATGGTGGCTCTGTAAAAGCAGAGATTGGTAAAGGTCATTTTATATAAATGCAACACAGAGACAGGAGACAAGAGAAGCAGTCTGAGGCTGAAATCGTCTGAACAGATTTCTATGAACACCGCTCACATCAGCGCTCAGGTCTCAGCAGGCAACCATGGTCACATCCAGAGACCGAGTCGTGAAGGTTTCGCATACGATGGGCAAAACAACAAAAGAGGCACATGCTTAGCGACCCGGTAGGTAAGGATTTTGACACATCCTGGAAACTTTAGGTTACCATAAATTAATTTATCAATTCATACAGATTAATTGTAATATTTTTCCAGATAAATTCATAAGATATAAAATATCTGATTGATTTAACATTGCTAATCTTAGATGAAAACCAGAAATATCAAGTTAATGCCTTTATATTCGTACAATTCAATGATAATTTGATGAAGCAGGACCATGATCATTTCTCAGTACTGCCTAGAAAATGCACATAATTGCCTGATAATTCCTAGGACCCCAAGCCTTAAATATTTAATCAGTCCCAGGATCACTCTCCTGCTTTAGTGAGGTAATTTGAAGGCACTGACTGACTGGTGAGAACAGCCCATTCTCTATTGAAGCCCCATTAACACGAGCTACAGGCCATGAAAACCACGTAAATATTGGAAGCAGCCAGAGCTCTGATCTATTCGCCTTGGTGCAGACATGTTTGATCAGGCTGTTAGGGTTCAACACAGACATTTTCCTAGCAGTTGCTGCTTTTGGTGACCTGCTTTCTGGAAGCTGGGATAAGAAACTCTAATAAGAAAATAAATAGTGAGCTGTTGGACACAATAGAAGTCAAACATGAGTAAATTCATCAAAAAGATTTGAATGGATCTTATTATTGTTAATTCAGGAAATCTTGTCCATTTTCAGAGCACTGATTTTAACCTATTGGTTTCAATTTGTTAGAGAATTGCAACAAATTCTTAGTTTATTAGTTATATTGACATAAAGTGAGATGAAACCCACAGAGTAACTTTTATTGAAATCTAAAGCATGGCTTCTTAAGTGTAAGACGAACATGGACAATATATTCTGTGTTCAGTGATATAGGTTGACTATAGCTACTCTTAAATCGCAGTGATACTCTGAGCCTTTGGTTGTACATTTCTTCCAAATGAAGCCAATAACTTGCTGCCCTTAACTCATTGTGTTCTGTGTTTTCTCCTAATGAAAGTACTGCTGAGAGAGTGCTGCAGTGTGGGATTTTCTTCTGGCTCTCGGTTAGTCCCAGCAGTTCTGTTGGAGGTTTTTTGATGTCGGAAGGGCCTTGTTTCTCTCCACTATCGCACCACACTTGCTCAGAATGGGAATAACTTTAAATAACGTGCGGAACTCCCTTGGATGTACAACTTTCCACCACTTCATTGAATTGCGGTTGACCTGATTGAATGAGAAAGTGTGCAATTGATTTTAAATATTTAAGTATAATTGGATCTATTTGATTCTGTGCGTTTGGGCATGAATCGGATCAGTTTGCTGTGCATTGAGATGACATTTGCTGTGCGAACAAAATAAACGACAAAAGGAAATAAAGATTTTTGTGTGGTCTTTTTTTTCAAAAATCTGAAAAGCAAGCCTTGATAAAACAAAATAAGCTCTACATCTCCTCTCCGCGCTCTGCCAACGGGAGCGCGCACAGACGCACGGAGCGAGCGGCTGGCAGACGAGACAGAAGTCCAACATCCTCTGAGCGCCATATCTCTGATCTGTTTTCTGGAGACGCTCCTGATCACCTGCAGTGGAGGGGAGAAGAAAAAAGAAACAAAGAAAGAAAGAAAGCTCCGACCTGTCAGCGCGTTTAAACTCTCATCCAATTTGTGATGGAGTTCCCTACAGTTCTTCCAGAGGACTTTCAGGAGGTCTACTCCGGGTCTGTGACTCCTTATTTAAACGCCACATTCTTAGGGGATCTGCCGACTGACCCGTCTAAAAGCAACGCAACCAGCGGGGTCGCAGGCAGAGACACCTCGGGTCTCATCATCGCAGTCTGCATCACGGCTCTCTACTCTCTCGTCTGCGTGGTGGGACTGCTGGGCAATGTGCTTGTTATGTACGGAGTGATCCGGTAAGACACCGTTTAATAAATGGGGGGAAATGTCAAAGATGGTTTGATTGTTGTTTGATGGATTGATGTCATTTTTCGCACATTTATTTATAGACAAAAAATGATGGATGTTTAGAAATGGTGCAAAAATAAGTTCTGGCATTTATTTATTTATTTTTTAATTTTTTTACCAATTTAGTCGATTTTGTGAAGGTTGGAATACAATCCATTTTCATTCCGTGTGATTTAATTTCCCAGTTTCAATGTGAGGCTGTGACAGAAAAAAAAAGTAAATATTTGATGTTTTCTACCTTTTCACTACTGCACTGCAGTAGGCATATATATATATATATATATATATATATATATATATATATATATATATATATATATATATATATATATATATATATATATATCACAGGGAACACAGGGAGCCAGAGAAAGCAACAAACACAAGAATAAAAGCCAGCAGAGCCTCACAAGCTGGATATATACTGGGGATCTTGATTACTGAACAAGGAACAGATGGCTGATTAGAAATGGGTTACAGGTGTGAAGGTAGACAACAGAAGGTGGACTGAGAGTGATAGTAAGGAGCGAGGAAGAATACGCCAACAGGAACTGCAAAACCAAATCTAATTAACAAATAAGGAAGAAATAAACATAACAACCCAGAATCAATGAGAAGAACTGAGAAAAGGCAAAACTTTAATCGTATCTGCAATTCTGGTGAAACAATTGAAGTTGCAAGTACATCCACAAAGTGTTCAACAAAGATGCTGCGATTTCATTTTGTAAAGTGGCTTTGAACCAGAGAACAGAAACACTGGCTGATATTGAGGATATTTATTCTTTGCATAAACAAAAGCTTCTGGGCATTTAGTGTTATTTAACTATATTTATTAGACACAGTTTAGCTTTGCTTCTGGATTGGTTTGTCAGCAAAATGAATCACTGCATTAACTATTCAAAGTGCTCAAAGCCACCAATGAAACCTCCATGTTTACCAGCTGAGGCCTACTCACTGCCACTGTGAGTAAGGGTCTGATGTGATTCTCTGCTTCTCTTCCAACTCAATCAGGTACACCAAGATGAAGACTGCTACCAACATCTACATCTTCAACCTGGCTTTGGCCGACGCTCTGGCCACCAGCACCCTCCCCTTCCAGAGCGCCAAGTACCTGATGAGCACGTGGCCCTTCGGGGAGCTGCTGTGCAAGGCGGTCATTGCTATCGACTACTACAACATGTTCACCAGCATCTTCACCCTCACTATGATGAGCGTGGACCGCTACATCGCTGTTTGCCATCCTGTGAAAGCCTTGGATTTTCGGACGCCTGCTAAAGCAAAGCTCATCAATGTCTGCATCTGGATGCTGTCTTCGGCCGTCGGAGTGCCAGTGATGGTCATAGCATCTACCAAGGTGACGGATAAAGGTGAGTTAATGTAGAAAGAAATCAGCAACATTATTTACAAAGGCTGCTTTATTGGAAACTTTCTTTACTGTTTGAGCTGTGAGTGTTGACTTCAGGCAGTGATCACACCAGGAAGGGTGATTTCAGCTCGGTTATGAATTCAAATTAGCTTCTATGCTTGACCTCCTATTAAAATTAATTGCTTAACTCCTCAGGAAACACCGCCTGCACGCTCAGATTTCCCAAGCCGGAGTGGTACTGGAACACCGTGATGAAAATCTGCGTGTTTATCTTCGCCTTTGTGGTGCCAGTCCTCGTCATCACCATCTGCTACGGCTTGATGATCCTGCGGCTGAAGAGCGTCCGGCTGCTGTCCGGCTCCAAGGAGAAGGACAGGAACATGCGGCGCATCACACGCATGGTTCTGGTGGTCGTGGCAGCTTTCATCATCTGCTGGACCCCCATCCACATCTTCATCATCGTCAAGACCATGGTGGAGATCAACCACAAGAACCTCCTGGTGGTAGCCAGCTGGCATCTGTGCATCGCCTTGGGCTACGCCAACAGCAGCCTGAACCCCATGCTGTACGCCTTTCTGGATGAAAACTTCAAGCGGTGCTTCAATGACTTCTGCCTGCCGTACCGCTCCCGCTCGGAGCAGAGCAGCTTCTCCAGAGCGCGCAACAGTGCGAGGGAGCCCGTGTCTGTTTGCGTGCCTGCAGGGGTGCAAAGAGCGCCTGGCTGACAGAGCCTGGATCAGTCAGAGGGAGAAATGGGTCAGGATGGACTGCAGACTGATGACACACAGTTCTCCACCACAGGAGTCTGAGGACTTGACCTTTGAATGAACCATGGATTGGGTCCATGCCGTGACCCCTTATGTAAAATATTATTTAAGTATTTTATTTGAAATATATGAGTGCCTGCCGATGAGAAATCTAGACATGTTCCCCGGAGCTTTGTATAAAAAACCTATTTAATTCACGCAAGATCGTATTGCTAGATTTAGAAAAAACAAAAACAAGTAGTTAGCCCTGCTTTATTTGACTTAAAGACTCATTTTCAGCTTTAATAGTTGGTAGCGCCACATTTTACAGAAAAGATTCAGGTGTGAGTTGTTTTAAAGGGTATTTTTATGGTCAGTTTGAGGCCAGTGATGGTGCATGGTCAGACGAATCAGTGCAGTCATCACTGTTCCACAGATTACATGCTGTCAGTGATGAAGATCACCTGCCTTTGATAACAGATTCCTGTTAGAACAGCAGAGAAGATTTTGTTGAAGATACTCGTGACCATGGCTCAAAGAAATGCAGTTTTGAAGTTAAATGTCATCTATGATCCAAAAAAGGATATCTAAAAATGATATAATCCTAAAAATGAAGGACTTCAAAGTTGTCAGTTTGACAGCATCAGTGCCACATGCTCTCTTTTTATTAACTCAAAAACATCCTGAATTTAGTAGTTGACATAAGAAAATATTTTGTCAAGAGCTATAAAGTCGTAGTAGTAAAAGCAGCAGATTGTTGAAACTATGAACTGTTATAACTGCAGTTTGTATTTATTAGGTTCTCCATTCAAAACCAACAAATTAAATTAAAAATGTTTGAATGAAAAACATCTGTATTTCTTTCAGGTTTTCTATATACAATTTTTCTACTAGAATGTAAAACACTGGATATTTATTTATTTATTATTTATCTATTCATTTCTTTTATTTTTTTCATATTTCAATGGTTTAGTTTTGCCGAATACTTTTATACAGTCCAGGGATGCAGCAATATTAAAATTTGGATCGATGTGAATATCCAATATTAATACTGTTGTGTTATCCAATACTACTTATATTGCTCATATTTCTCTCCACTTTAGATACTGTAAAAACAACCAGTCATTTATTTTGGCCCAGTTTTTCTCATAATAGCGATAAGTTAACAAAATGAATACCGATGTCGGTGCTGATTTATTGTGCACTCTTAACCAAATCCAGGCCATGTAGAGCAACAAACACTGACAAGGTTCTGAGCTCCTGACCCGTAGCGGTATTGTCATGACACATCTATGATTTCATGCAATTCTACAAGTGAATGTTGATATGAGATATTTTTATGTTTTTTTTTTTTTTTGCTTTACTGGATGTATCTAACTCTATCGTACAGAATCTCCTTTCATCTCTGCTCAGCTGAATATAATGTAGTATAAAGATGAGCGACTTACATTTTTAAGGTGTACTGGGGCAGAGTTTAGTGCCAATGATGATGAGAGAAGACAAACTTTGAGTGGTTGTCATATTAAACATTGTACGCTGTATGAAATGTACTGTAAGAATAATGAAGAATAGGGATTTCTAATGGCCAATAATTAAAGTATTATTATTTATTTTGTGGTTTTGTTTGATTATGTTGCTGCACAAATGAATTAGAGTTTGGTGAACTAAGTGTTGTGTAATTACTAACTCTGTAAATATTGATTCTGTAGTTAAAACATATATATATTCTGTCACACTTTGACTTATTATTATTGTTACTATTGTTTTTTGCCCAGAATTTATAGGAGAGGATTTAAACTTAGCACAAAAAGCAACACTTTTCTTGGTTGGTTGACTATTTCTCTGTTGCAACACTTCTTGGAAATAAATTGTGTACTTTCAGACTTATACTATTTATTTTCTCCAAAATGTTGCCACATTTGTGAGAAAATGTTTTTGGTTGCGCAGCAGAGGTTGGAATAAAACCTCTTGGTTGCGCAGCAGAGGTTGGTCATTTTGGTGGGAAGAACAAAAGCTGACCCCACAGGTGTTCAGTGGGTCAGAGGTCAGGTGTGGAGGTCAGCCTTTCTAGTCCCAGAATCTGAAGGTAGTTTCTGATGAACAACCCTACGTATGACCAAAAATCTTTGAGTTTGTGGAACCATCTAAGGTGAAAGAAATGTGTGCTGTTGTTTTTTAACAACATAAGATCTATTGTCAAAAATCATTGTTCTTACAAACACAAAATAAAAACATTTAGTTGTTGTTTCTAAATGTATAAATGTCCACGACAGTCATTCAATGGATCTTCATCAGTAAGAACGGTGAAGATGTTATTACTTTTTTCTCTTGATTTGTTTTGTTTCTAAAATGATAAATTCTTCTAAAGAGAAAAACAATTTTTAGTTTTTAAGATTTCTGCAGATGTTCACACACATGCTAAATTATACAAATACTATATTTACTGCTTTTATCGTTGCTGGAAAAACTGCTGTAGTTTCTTTCTGGTGTGTTTTATTTTGAAGTGCTGATTGACAGTAGTTAAATCCTGCACTTCCTTTTCCGTGACATTTATGTCTTATTATGCTGTTAACAGAAGTGAGATGTGTGAGCTTCTTGTGTAATTGGTAGAATATGTTGTTGATCATTATTTGAGTCAGCATACAGTCGACTTGTGGCACCTGGTTACAGTTGAAGCTAATATTTGAAGTCTGCAAATGTGAGTGAATAAATAAAACATGACTGCATCAGGCTGTGTTGCTAGTGAGATTTTTGAACTCCAAAAGAAAAACATGATAAACTGTTTCAGGATGTCTTGTATCGTTTTAACTCTGACCAGCTCCTCCTATTGAAGAAAACCTTCCCCACATACTTTCCCATAATGCTGCCACCACCATGCTTCACAGTGATCGTTGATTTCTGTTCTACATCTTGGCTGATAAGTTCAATTTTGGTCTTTAGAGAGGTAAAGGAATTAGACATAAAACTATCAGTGTTTCTGACTCAGATGTGAAATGAAAAAACAACTTTAATCAGATCTTTTTGATTTTCTTCCCAGCTTAAATTTTAACATTACAGACTAACTGGGAATTGACGGGGGAAAAACAACAAATAACGGCATAACCATTTTCTCACATAAAGATAAAATAATAACAGAGGGAATTTAATGGAAGCATTCATCATCGTTAGCATGCAATTTCGAAGATGTAACAGATGCAGGCTTACAAACCACAGTGGACATAGTGGCATATTGAAATTGAGCAATTCATGTAACACTGACGAGAACTGCTGAGTAAGTGCTATTTCACCCAGAACTTAATATTCGCCAGAAGAGACATTACGATTATTTGATTCACTGATGTGGGCTTGGTGCTCTCTGCAGCAGATGCTTGCAAAATGAAGGATCAGATCATCGAGCCTCGCTTGAAATGTTGACTGGAAAGCTGAAAAACAAAAAGCTGCGAAGCATCAATTTTTATTGCAGGAGAGCCGAGACTGGATGCTGAATATGCATGCCATCTGCTAGCAGTCGAAGCAGGCTGCTTGGAAATGAGAGATTCGTAAGGAAGTGAAGCTTGACCAATATATTTTACTTTGCTGACAAAACAGAAGTTGGAACTCAACCCTTTAACTGTCGTTGTGATTCACTACCAGCAGAATACACTTTGTTATTCCTCACAACGGAAGGTGACAGCTTTATTAGGACCTTTAGTTGGATCATTGAGTAAATGAGAAAGTGTGGAAAATCTGTTAAGACTTAAAAACTTAAATGCTTGTCTCTAAACCACAGAGATAATTTTTAAAAATAGAAAATGGTGGGTAGATTTGACAAGATGTTTAGCCTGTTTCTGGACTAAAGCCCAGTGATCTCTGACTACATCGACTGAGGCTGGCACTCAGACAAAATTATGTGGCAATTACAGCTTTATCTGGGCAGATGAGAATATCACTGACTTAGTTCAGGGATTCAAACGCACAAAGTTATGCACAGAGTTACTTTGATGTCTGTGTCTAATAAAAATTCTAATTTGGGTTTGTCTAAAAATTACAATATCATTTAAGATAAAATAGATTTTAATGTAGAAATGGACTGGAGAAGACTAGAATGGAGATAACCTTTACTGTCTGGTGTACCAGCAGTAAAGTGACGGCTGATGGGAGCATGCAAATTCAGACAGAGGTGAAAAACATAAAAACGAAAAATAAGAGTGTACATAAAGTCCTAATTTAAAGAATAAACAATTTAACAGCATCAAGTTTCTGTTTTGAAATGAATTAAATTAACTTTCTGATGATGTTCTGATGTGTTGATTTGTCTGCATGTGTTGCATTATTCCTTCTTCTTAATTTGAGCACTTTTATAAATCATTAATTCAAAACTGATTGGAAGTGCATATGAAATTATAATTTTTAAAAAAAGTGCCTCTCCATTTATGACCACCCACCACTTCAGCTGCTGGTAATTTCCATTCTCTCCCAGAGAGTCTCCCCCTGGCAAATCTTTTCACCGAATCATAACTCAGACTGTCGCTCAGCAGTTGGATCAAAAGAAATGGTTTTTATTCCAACCTGCCCGTCATGGACCTCTGAGGCTAATTATCACCCAGTCAATATGAAAGAGACACAGAGGTCCATCAGAGGGATGAGTCACACCACGTCCTTCTTTCACGGCTGCCGCTGCACTACCGTGGCCTCCAGGGGAACCTTCAGCCCACGGGATGAGCGACCCAATCTATCAGGCAAATCACCAGTAATTACAGGAGCAGTCTGCAGGCAGTGGAAGACCCGCAGTTTAACAACAAAAGAGATATTTATTTGCAAATGATCCCTGTTTGTTTTCTGCTCGCACGTTTTCTCAGACAAAGACAATAACATTAGAGTATTTATGTCGTTTGGTACATCAGATACTGACTAATGCATCAGTGACCAGCAGTGGCATTTGCTGCTTCAATGTACTGACAGGCAGCTGTTTGTTTTTGTCAGACAGGAAGCGTGACTCTATAAACAATTAAAAACCCGGCGGTCTGTAAAGGGCCCTTGGCCAACAAATGAGCCCACGGATCCTGCGTTGTATTCCCACCTGCAAAGTAAAAGCCGGA